TTTTTTTTTTCATCACTCCTGCTGCTTTTCTCTGTTTCTCTTTCGACTGGTGGCCTGACGGTGGTCGGTTACATACACGCTGTTTTCACAGCTTGCCGTTCCCCCAACCCGGGCTAAAACCCCCGTGAAAAACCTACCCCCGGCCTCCCTATTTCTTTTTTCTTTTCTAGAACCCGCCTGACTTTATAAAATCTCGGGCGCGTCGGACGCGTCGAACCGTGCTCCATATCCCCGACTCGCCTAGCCAGTCATCCCTCCAGTCCCTTTCTCCCTTCGAAAAAAAAAGAGAGAGAAAGAATGAATGAAGAATCTCTCCTGCGATCGTGCTGCGATCGCGCTCCACTTTCGTACGCGTGAGTGTTTGACGAGGCACGTGAATTACACCCCTGTCGAGCCTTCAGAATCTTCAGAGTGACACGACATTGCAACTCTGAACACGTAATATCGGAGCATCGAGCAACAACTGAAAAATAACCTAAGAAAGAAAAGAAAAAAAAGAAAAGAACACACTCGAGCTGCAATTTATTCAGAAGTTTAGTCAGCCACCGGGAAGCAGTGTGTTGCCGAAGATAAGCATCCCCCTGACGATTAAGGCGATACAAATTACGAAATATGTTCGCGATAAGTTGTTACAGCAATTTAGCTGCTGCACACGAGCACGTGCCGGACCCGCCGCGTCGGCTTCGTACCGCGCGGAGGAGAATCACGATCGTTTTAAATCACACCAAGTTCCGCACAAGGCTGACGCTGAATAAACGGCGGTAACAATCGATAACATGCCGCTAGCCAGCTGCCTACATACGCAAAGCGTCCCGCAAATCGGATTCCGGGCAAACGAACGAAACAAAGCGGCGCGCATTCATCGTGAATGTCGCGCGCGTTGGATGCCGCGTTCGTTCCCTTCGCGGTGGATAACGAGGGACAATGACACTTGTAACTCACCATGATGACCGTGCACGTGATGCGTATCCGGCAGCGGCTTGCCCGACAGGTAGTCCTGCTTGCAGACGAACTTGTTGTCGTCCAGGACGTAGAGCTCCTCTCCGGTGCTCATCTGCTTCCGACAGACCAGGCAGGTGAAGCAATTCAGGTGGAAAACCTTGTCCCTCGCCTTCCTCACGAGATCCTGGGGGCTTATCCCTTGGAGGCAACCGCTGCATTTCGTACCGTATCGCCTGCAAACAGAACCCCGCGACAAGCCAACGTGAATAGCCAACGTGACAAACAACAAATGGCCGGGAGGAGTTTTCTTTCTTTCTTTTTTTTTTTTTTTTTTTTTTTTTTTTCGAATCAGTCCGCGAGGACTGGTCCCGCTGAAAGAGACGAGCGGGGTTAACGAGCGTCATCTCGCTCGCGCCACGTGATTAATCGTTTCGAAGCGATTTTTTCCGCTGGCCGCGAGTTTCGCGCCTTCGAGGGAAGCGCCCCGCTCTTCTCGTTTATTTCGTTCGCTCGGCGTAAATCACGATACGTGAAATTCACTTGCCTCTGTTTTATATAATATTCGTTTCGACCGAACGAGGATCGTCGCAAGTTCGACAGCTCGTCCGTCTCTTTCCCTCGTTTCTCTCTCTCTCTCTCTCTCTCTTCCTCTCTCTCTCTTTCTCTCCGTTTCTTTCGTTTTCTTTCGTTGGACACGTGGACACGTCGGACGGACGAACGAAAAGGAAAGTAGTCAATGTTGTACGACGACGACGACGTTTATTGGACTCGAGACTTACGAGTCCTGTCATTAAGCCGCTGCACTCGCAAACGTCGATAAAAGAAATATGGCGCTTTTAAAGAGATGGGACTTTAACGTCCCGATAGGGCATAAAAAGTTAAAACCCTTCGGTGCTGTAAAAGCACATCGCGGTTACCGGCCAGCGCCTGTTCGATTCCTCCCTCCCCTTTCTTTCCTTTTATTCGTTTAATCCCTCCGTGTCCTACTTGTTAATTTCGTATTAGCCGAGCTCTCTTTCTCTTCCTTTTCCTTTCCCACTTCCTTTTTCTCTTTCACGTCGTTCGCCGGCCAGGCTGTCTTTTTGTCGCAAACAGCTCCGGAACGGCTTCCCGAACGACGATCGAGGAACGGGATTGATCGAGCAAAAGGTAAGAGAAAAAGAAACGACGAGACGACTGGAAAAAAAGAAAATAATCGACGATTTGCAAAAAGAGACGCGCAAGATGATCCTCGACGCGCAAACACGCGTCGATCCAGCTACCATTCTTTCCAGCGTGTGCAGGCCGCCAACGCGCACAGTTCACGCGGCCAGTTAATAAATCTAACCGGAACGATTCGTCCGTTCCGATCCTCCCGCGAACTGTTATTACCGGAAGCATCGAAGCCGCGTACTTCTGCCGCCAGTTGGTAATCCCGATCTTTTTAATTACAGGAATCACGCGATTAATTATAGCAATTACCGCTTAGTCCCTTAGGGCTGCTGCTGCCGCCGCCGCCGCCTTTCCAAAGTAAATACATCTCAATCGAGATGTGCCGGTACTCGCGCTCGTGTTCGGTAAACGCGTTGCACTTCCGACCGAAATGACCGCGCCACCTCGAAACCTGTGCATTCAAATTCCCGTGGCTGGCCGTCCCAGCAGGCCAGAATTTTCCCGTCGCTCGTGCGTGTAATATCGGCTGACCCGATTCGCGACCCTCGCGACTGCTATTATTTTATTGCTATCGCAATTTCCCGACCGGAAGTAGAAGCGTCCGAACGCGGCCGACACATCGTGCCAATGTGTTCGATTCTTATTTCACTTACCTCACGATCCGAATGATTTCGAAATTTTCAAGAACAAAAATTGACACGCGCGAGTTTTCCCTAATTGCCTAGGTACTGGTAGCTCGTCGATTAGCTCAGAACAGATGTAAGCGTTCGTCATCGATCTGTCGTTTCATCAAGCTGCGAGAGAAGACTGTCGTCTCGTTTGCTTTCAGAACAGAGAGCAGGGTAAAAAAAAAAGGAAAAAAAAGGAAGAGGAAGAAAAAGAACAAAAGAAAGAGCAGTACAAATTACAAGGATTCCCTTTTGTCGATCGACGCGATCATCCATGGCCATTATACGAAGTACTTACGCGAAATATCCTATAATCAACCGGCACACTTTTTCAAACTATTCATCAACCTGTCCAAATTAGCAGTCCTACGCGCGCAGTTCCTATCCAATCTTCTCACGGAAGCAGAAGCCGGAGATATTTCTTGACCAACGGTCATTACGCTGCCAGAGCTTCTCTCGTCTATCGTCTCTCTCTCTCTCTCTCTCTGTCTCTCTCTTTCTCGTACACTACCTCGCTCTTTCTAGCTCGCTCTCCCGTTTGTCGTACCTATGCTTCCTCCGTCGTCCTCGCGTTTCGCCTCGCGCTACAATCCCTCTAGTCTAATTACAGGAATTATTTAATTAATTATAGCAATTAGCCGATCCCGTGTCAACTTCCCCGAATGCA